GGCTGTTCCCAGGCGTACATCTTTATGACACGCATTCCGGCGATAATCTCTTGCATTAAACGGATTCGACTGTCAGTTAATTTAGCCGTCTTTTGACGTATACTCCGAAACATACGACCCATTAGTACTTGAAATGGTATAAACAACACAAGTATTCCTATTCCCGTCAAACACGCCCACCGCAAATGTGGCCACAATAGGTATAACACTATCGCCGCCTGTAGTGGCCCCACAAACAATGATTGCGAAAACAATGCAAACTGTTTTTTCCCCCAAAAAAATAAGCACCAGGGTTTAAAACATTTTATAATAATTTAAATTATTTAAGTTTAATTATCAATATTCTATTCACATCATCAAATCTGTTGACATCGTTGGACATAATGTTCAATATCTGGCCAACAGTTGTCTGTCCAAGTGATGAGTAACTTAAACGCATGGACTTTATATAAAATTATATAAAAATATATTTTAAAAAATTAAAAAATTATACTCTTTTATGGAACATACTTTGCTGTAGATTAGGGCACAACAGGCGGCACGGATTCTGACACCAACTCTGTTACACGAAACTAAGTTTGAATATAAAATAAACGTGTTTGCAATGGACGCCAACACAATACCCACGGCCGCCCATATGGCCCACCACTGGCTAGTGTTGGGGTCATCGTTGAAATATCTCACCAAATAAACAATACAATATGGTTGAAGCATATTTGCTCCCAATTCCTAATTGATTAAAAAATATTTATGTAATTAATTGAAAATATTTACTATATATTATTATAAATATTGTTTTTAATTGATATTCGTTTATATAATACTCTGATTGCTTCGGGGATATAGAGGATAATGAGTTCGGGTCCGAACGATGCGAAGAGTGCCCAAAATAGTGATGGATTTCCTTTATTTTTCAATTGTTTATCCCATTCGCTATAATAATAATAATGAATTATATATTAATAATGAATATAATTTTTGTGTTACATTTGCAACTTGTGTCGGACCCGATGTGTCTCATCTGATTTTGGGCAGCGGTAGAGATCACTGAACTCGAGGTCCTTTTTGTGCGCCCGAATGAATAGACTCCACATCCAACTAAATTATAACATAAAATACATAATAAAAAATTGCATTACAATGGAATATACTGTAATTAACTTTATATTGATAACATTGTCTAATGTAAATTTAAATACAGTGCAATAAATGACCTGAATGTAATCTTTGAAAATATGTTAACGCGATCCCATGGACTTGCAATGGTTACCAAACCATCGGTTACTTCCATCGTATTATGATTTTAAACTTTAATATAGTATAAAAATTGTAATTTACAGTTTCATTAAATTTGTCGGTCTAGCGCAATTGTAGTATTGCTGTGTATACAACAAGCAATTAAACATAATAACTTTCATAATAACCCGCAATAAATTTTAGAGTGACACCAACAATAATGGTTGCTCTCTGTATGTTTATATTTAATACCCTAATTAATTTATACATTTATAATGTTTATTTTAATTATCTAAATACTTTTAATATTCATAAATTATTTCATTTTGCAATACCATATGCTGTGAATATTGTTACAATTAAACCTGAATGATAAAGTCATGTTAGATCATATAATTATTGATAATAGAGTTGTTGTTTTTATTTTATTTAAAATATTATTAAAATACACGACACCGATATGGCCAAGGTGTTATCTAACTGCGCTATAATAATTTAATACCTTAATATGTTTTTACCTTGTTACCAACGGACATATAGCAGTGATTGTTAGTTATGTGAGACTATCAACGGGTTATTACATCCACTCAATTAGACACACAAAACAATTACACTTTTTTGGAGAGTAAAACACATCATAACTAATATCTACTTATATTACATTTAGTATATGGCGAGATGTGAGCCGTAAATATAAAGTTTCATATTAATTGGTGATATTAATTGTAATTTTAACTAATATTTAGTAATTGGGTCTCCAGAATAGATATTTGTAGTAATATTATAGTAATAGATTGATATCTCAAGAATCAATATATATAAGTTGTCTCTAAAAAATTTATAAGTTGTTTACTTTATGAACAAATGGCTAATTGGGGATACAATAAATAATTCATTGATATTTTAGTAAATTGAAATAATGGTTAATTTATGAAAATATAAACTATTTATTTTAGTAATTAATTTTTATTTACGTAATTAAAATTTGAATAAATGAATATTCTGAAATATAAGAATTTTAACATTTAACTTGTAATATAATTTGTTACCATACATCAAATTAATTTGGCAATTAAATCTACTAATTGTATGCTCAAAATTGTCCTATTATTTGACCATTTACCTATTTGTAAAATTACGACATAGTGCCTTTTAATTATACTGACATTTTGCTTTTGGATTAAAAGTAATAATTAATTTTTATAAAACTATTATATTTTAATTTTTTAATTTACAGTACAGTTTATTTTATACTGAAAACTGAGTTACCAAAACAAACAACAAGTTTTATTGTTGCAGGTAGTTTTAGTGCAAGTATACTAACTAACCTTGGCGAGTCCACCAGCGCAAACAGAATTAAGTTAAATGATAGCACATGGTTATGTCCTTAACGAGAGTATAGATTAACTTAATACTTAACAATGTGCACTAGACAAATCAAAAACTGTATAAATACCAGCGTTTGTTCTTCAAAATACATACATTTTATAATAATAATTTTGTTTTAATTCAAATTTGTTAAAATATTTTACCATAATGTCCAATACAACAACACCAACACTGGGATACTATCGACTCCAGGGTATCGCTCAACCCATACGACTACTGTTGGCCTATACGGGCACCGCATATACGGACAAACAGTACGACTACGGACTGACCGCTGATACATATCGCGTTCATTGGCTCAAAGACAAATTTACCCTGGGCCTTGAGTTTCCTAACTTACCATACTACCTCGATGGCGATGTAAGACTGACCCAAAGTCACGCCATTATGCGATACGTGGGCCGTCGGCACGGGTTGGTGGCCACCGATGAGACGGGACTCGTGCGCCAGGATATGCTGGAGCAACAGTTGGTGGACATTAGGGTTGCCTTCGCAATGGGAGTGCCATTTAGTTGGGGCAACAATTTTACCGCTGATAAAGCCAAGTATATTAACGACACATTACCGCCACAGTTGGCCCAATTGTCCCGGTTTTTGGGGGATAACCAGTGGTTTACCGGACGTAACATTAATTATGTAGACTTCTTGGCGTATCAACAGCTCGATTGGTTGCGACAGTTGAGCCCCGAGACGGTCCGTAAATATGATAATTTGTGGCAATTTTTGCATAGATTTGAAAGTTTGCCGCAAATTAATGCTTATATGAAATCATCGGAATTTATAAGTTGGCCACTGTTTGCTCCAATGGCCAAATGGGGATTTAATAAATAATTTAGCTAAATTACTTAATTATTGTTATACATACTTATGTATCTAATAGCCAAAATTATTCTCAAATTAATGTACTACAATGTATCTATAAAATATTTTGTCTAAATTATGTTTACAAACATAACTTTTATTTAACTTATTAAACTAATTAAAAATGTTTATTTTTAAATAATTTATATTTTGTTGTACAATTAAAAATAAATATGCAAATATGATAATTTGTGGCCATTTTTGTACAGATTTGAGAGTTTGCCGCAAATTAGGGTTTATATGAATTGAATTGACTTTATTAGTTGGCCACTGTATGGACCGAGAGCGATATGGGGGCACAATAAGTAATTTACTAAATTGTTATATTTACTATACAGATAATTTAAAAACTATTAAATTTAACAGTTCAAATTGCAAATTTACTGATAATTCAACTTATTTTTAATTAAGAAAATAAATAATTCATATTTTTGCTGAATTTCTCCAATGGCAATGTGAGGCTACAATCTGTAAAAATGTTAACTTTTTAATTGTCTAGAAAACTTTTTAAATAACAAGCAATGTATTTATAATGTGCAATATTAATGTGAATTTTGGTCAATCTAATATCAGTGGTATAATATCACAGATTTTATTTTATTTAATATAAAAATAATAAAAATTTACTTTATAATGAATTGCGCTTACAAATTACATTGGTAATCATACGTTTTACTTATTTGCAAGTAACTTTTACAAGAATTAGTGCATATACACTATAATAAATATTTTTGTAAAATCACGCTAACGCTACAAATTGTAATTCACATAGGTAATTACCTGTATTATAAACAAACTACTGATACTAAAGCTTGTTATTCAAATAAATTCATCAAGGCTATTGTTTGAACTATTTATGGAAAAAGTATAAATACTAATTGAATTCATAAAATACAAAATATCCTTTCACTAGAAATATAATTTACTAAACGATGGCAAACAATACTATACCCACATTGGGTTACTATGGGTTCCGAGGCATCGCTCAACCCATACGACTACTGTTGGCCTATACGGGCACCGCATATACCGACAAACGTTACGACTACGGCCCGGACGCCGACACGTTTTTCGATTATTGGCTAAAAGAGAAATTCACCCTGGGTCTGGACTTTCCCAACGTACCATACTACATTAATGGCGACATAAAACTGACCCAGAATATTGCCATTTTACGACTTGTGGCCCGTCAGCACGGGTTAGTGGCCACCGACGAGACCGGACTCGTGCGCCAGGATATGCTGGAGCAACAGTTAGCTGACATTCAGTCTGACTTTTATAAAGGACTGACATTTAATTATGAGACCGATGTGGCGGCCAATAAAGTCAAGTATATAACCGTCACTTTGCCGCCACAGTTGGCCGACTTGTCCCGCTTTTTGGGGGATAACCAGTGGTTTACCGAACGTGACATTAATTATGTAGACTTCTTGGCGTATGAAGTGCTGGATTGGTTGCGGCTGTTGAGTCCCGAAACGGTCCGTAAATACAATAATTTGGGGCAATTTATGTCCAGATTTGAAAGTTTGCCACAAATTAGCGCTTATATGAAATCAGCGAAGTTTATAAGTTGGCCACTGTTTGGTCCGGTGGCTAAGTTCGGGCACAACAAGTAATAAATCATGTTGGTTTATAAACAAGATCATTGTCCATTAAGATTAATATTAGTAAATTGTTTATTGTTATGTAAATCAATTAATACAATTTTTATGTAATAATAACAAATAATTAAATTGTTTTTCTTACATTGTTAATCGTTTCTTAATTATCAATAGATAATTTTTAAAATGATTTGTATGATTACTACATAATTAAAATAGTAATCCACTTATAATTTTTAAAGCATAAGTTTATAAGTTTATAAAATTATCAGTATTTACATTATAAACCAAGTAAGAATTCAATTTCAAGCATTATCACAATTTAAACATAGCAAGCAATTTTTGCATAAATTTGAGAGTTTGCCGCAAATTAATGATTATATGAATTCATCGGAATTTATAAGTTGGCCATTATTTGGCCCATTGGCTTAGTGGGGATATATTAAATAACTAATCACTATTTAACATTTTTTATATAGATTGCTATTATATGATTATACAAATAAGTTTAAATTATTTTTAATTTAAAAAAACAATGATAATGCAACTTACTTGGTAATGTAAACGAGCATGTTGCAAAAGTATATTAAATATAAATAATATACAATTTACTTAATTATTATAACTAACTGTTAATCAATTTTGAATAAATTATTAAAATAACAGACTTAAATTAAACGTACATTTTAATTGATTTGATTTATTAACGCTTGTGGAACATAATCAGCACAACTAATATGAGCTAGTTTGTGTTAATTGTATAACCAATTTATATTTAATCGTGTATGGAAATTAAACTGCGTTTATTAATCTATAAAATGATGCAAACTATTTGTCTCTATCTATTGTGGATCCGGAGATAATCGCATCTGAAGTGGTCATTCTCTGAAAATGGTTTGGAAATGTGAGTCAATGGAAATTGCAAAATTTGAAAAATAAATTTGGAAAAGTAAAAAATTATATCAATTACATAGTAAAATGAGATATCCATAACAAATCAGTAGCCTTTACCGCGTATTTTTAAAAATATAATCAAATTTATTTTTCAAATTTTGCAATTTCCATTGACTCACATTTCCAAACCATTTTCAGAGAATGACCACTTCAGATGCGATTATCTCCGGATCCACAATAGATAGAGACAAATAGTTTGCATCATTTTATAGATTAATAAACGCAGTTTAATTTCCATACACGATTAAATATAAATTGGTTATACAATTAACACAAACTAGCTCATATTAGTTGTGCTGATTATGTTCCACAAGCGTTANTTTTGGCTATTGTGTCAATCATTGGATCAATTGAGTGATGAAACGTATGGATCGGTTGGACATCACATGAAGACTGAATTTGAAGACCGACTGAAGAGTCCATCAAATGATCAACAAATGAGACCAACGGATGAAACACAAGAAGTGAATCAAAGTATTGATGATAACAACGATGGCGTGTTTGATAACATGTATGACAGCAATGGTCTGGAGTTGGGATCAGTTATCAAAATAGAAGCCGAAGATAATTATGTGAAACTAATAAATATAGAGATTCAACCGGTATTACCATCAAAACCATCGACGTCTCAATCATCACAAGAGATGGTAAACGAAGATATGAATGAAGAGAGTAGTGACGACTCGATGGAAATGAAATCAAAACAATTGATGTCTCGATTGTTGGCACAAAATAAGATTGAACGAAGTGAATGTTTTGATAGGACTCTCAAAGCATTCATTTGTCCCATAAATAAGTGCCACAAAAGTTTCCAAAAGGATCCACACTTTCGGCAACATTTGCAGAGAACTCATACCACAAGACAATACTTCTGCACTCATGAGGGCTGTGGTAAAGGCTTTAAGACAGCGGGCGCTTTGAAAAAACATCAATTGATTCACAATACTATCAAATCATTTCATTGTTCACACAATGGCTGTCAATACAAAACAATAAGTGATCCCCATTTGAAAAAACATCAGAAGAAACACTCGACTGAAGTGTTTAAATGTTATGCAAACGGATGTGGTTTTCATAGCCGTAATGACCTCTCTATGAGAGGACACATGAAAAGAATGCACAAAATCAGTAAATCATATAAATGTCATTATATTGGCTGTCAATATAAGTGCGTTTACAAGAGGTTATTGACAGCACATCTTAAGACACACTCAACAGATAGTGTGCACATATGTCCCGTCGGTTACTGTCAGATGGCATTTAAGTCGATGAATGAGTTGAATGTCCACCGATTGACACACCGGGCCTTCAGACCGGCCATTAAGTGTGGGACCAAAGGCTGTAATGATGTGTTTCATACGTTTTCTCAACGCCTGAGACATCGGGTGTCGGTTCACAACCGACGGACGTATAGCTATCGCAGAGGAAAACAATGGTTTGAATGGAAGGGGAAAACAGAGACACAAGAAGTGATACAAACAATGGATGACAACAACGAAGGAGTAAATGAAGACATGTTTGACAACAACTACAAACCCGGGAAATCCAGACTTATTGCCGGCAAACCCCAGAGCCTGGCGTTGAAGTGTGGGGTCACTGATTGTCAGATGATATTTGCATCAAAAGAGGATTTGTATAAACATTTAGATAAACACATGAATGATCTCGAGTTGGGATCAGATGTCAAACAAGAACCCGAAGATAATTGTGTGGAACCATCACAAGAGATGATAAACAAAGACATGAGTGGGAAGAGTAGTGAAGACTCAATGGAAATGCCTTCAAATGAATCGATGGCTAAATTGTTGCGAAAAAATAAGTCCGAAAGAAATAAATGCTTTAATTTAACGACAAATACATTCATTTGTCCCATAAATGAGTGCCACAAGAGTTATGAAACAGACAGTAAATTTATGACCCATTTGTGGAACATTCATACCTCAAGACATCACGTGTGCACTCATGAGGGCTGTGGTAAAGCCTATAAAACAAAATCCCAATTAAGTCGACATAAATTGACACATTATTTAAGCAAACGATATGATTGTCCACATAATGGCTGTCAATACAAAGCCATTAGTAATCAATATTTGAAAATACATTTGAAGTCACACTCAGTGTACAAATGCGATGTCAATGGATGTGTCTATCAGACCATTCGTAAGGGCCATTTCAAAACACATTGCCCTCGACATAAGGCCTTTGATTTACGGACCATTGCGTGCGGAACCGATGGCTGTATTGATATGTTTTGCAATGAAGACCAACGAAACAGACATCTATGGGAGGCTCACAGCCGGCGATTGATTAATGGCTTACAAGACAAACAACAATTCCGGTGCCAACGGACACACTGTGGCCAACGGTTTACCACTAATGAAATGCTCGCACAACACGTGAATGTCCACAACTGTGCGGATCAGACAAACGAAATAATTATTTCCCAAACTGAGTATAAGCCGATGAATGTCACTCAAGACCAGAACCCAAAGTTAGTATACAATTGTATTGTGATATAATAACGACACTATACTGTACTGTGGTTTAAATCAATCCATTTAGGACAGGACAACCAGGGTCAATTACGTGTGTCGTTTGCTCGGAGACAAAGTTTTTTACAAAGATTACGAGACATTACGGGGTGTTTAGGTATTTATCATAATGTGGTTAATTGGTTGTCATGTGATTTAGTGATAATATGGTTATTCTCCCCAACAGTTGTTTCAATTGTTATTACTTTTTGGCACGATTTCTCAAACAACCGAAACAATACTTTTGCCACAAAAACGGTCAGTGCTCTCTCTCTCTCTCTCTCTCTCTCTCTCTCTCTCTAATACAAAAAGTTTCTTTAATTCCTTTGATTATAATTACATTATTAATGCAATGTTTGAAAAATGTTGGACTCAAATTAAAATAAAATTATAATCACATAATAAATTGAATATTTTATTCAAATATTAGGCTAATAGAGAGTGAGAGATGTGTATATATAGTGAATAAATATGTTATGTAATGACTGCACGAACTCGTCATTTATTTAGCAGAATAACAGCTTTTAGTTTCGTCTCTCTCTCTCTCTCTCTCTCTCTCTCTCTCTCTCCCTCCCTCTCCCTCTCTCTTTCTCCCTCAACCACTGACTCACTTCTACTTCGTGTGCACAGGTGTCTGTCCATTGGGCGGCCGTAAGCCTTCAGCCCGATGTAAGTCGTGTTGGTTGAAAGTTTGTTTTGAAAACTTTCGTATCGATCGTCACCTGAGAAACACCGTTTGCAAGACATTTGCCCCCAAAACTACGCGCGACCCCTAATTATCATCTGATGGTAGGTTTGTGTCCATAAACCCCGTATAACACTCCCTCTAACCCCTAACCTCCCATATAGTGGACATCGGAACGGATCCGCGGCCACAAAACCGCCCAATTTTGGTGACAGCAATGGTCTGGCGTTGGAATCAATGCAGAGATGGAGTGATAATTATATGGATAGCTATGAATACAGACACGAGTTTTATAAAGATTTATTTATTTAGTTATTATTAAAATCAACGATTTTTGAATGCCATTGACTGCCATAAAGTATTTATAAATTTAAAGTAACTTTAATATTGAAATTAATTAAATAATTTGATGTTTAAGTGATAAACTTTTTAATAAAAACATGAAATAAAAATTAACATTTCCTCAAGTTTTGAGTTATTTTTACCAATAATTTATTAATTGCCAAAAATTAATGTAATATAAAATGTTTACGTAATTCAGAGACAATCCCTTCGCTTCTCATTTGAGTCAAATTGAGTTGAGTTTTGTTTACATTTTTTGATTCAATTGTTGTTTAGTTTTGCACTTAATTTGTATTCAAATTAATTGTGAATTAGTTTTAAATGTGATTTTGAATTGAATTATGGATTCAATTATTCATATAAACGATATTTTGGATGAATTAATGAATGAAAACAATAGACTTTTACATGAAATCCAATGTTTGAATGAAATGAAAACACATTTAATTAAAATTCACTCAAAATATGAAACACTTATCGATTCAGAAGACAATCAACACTTCCGGACATTATCTCAAACTTTAGATCAATTGAGTGACCAAAACAACACTTCATGTGATAATAAAATGCAATTCATTTATGGATCTGATATACGACTGAAGAGTCCATCAAATGGTCAACAAATGAGACGAAGAAATGAAACACAAGAAGTGAATCAAAGTATTGATGATATGATTGAAGACATAAAAGTGGAGACAAATGAAGACTCGGAACCGAAGAGTTGCCGAAAGAAACGGAAATTGAATACAAATAATCGTAAAAACAGTGAACCGAAGGAAACAATGGATGAGACCATTGAAGACAACACTTGCGATCACATGAAGACTGAATTTGAAGACCAAATGAAGAGTCCATCAAATGATCAACAAATGAGACCAACGGATGAAACACAAGAAGTGAATCAAAGTATTAATGATAACAACAATGACGTGAATGAAGACATGTTTGCCATCAATGGTCTTGAGTTGGAATCAGTTATCAAAGAAGAACCCGAAGATCACTCTATGGAACCGATTAATACACAACTCATTAATAAATTCTCAATAAGTTTAATGAATACAGAAATGCAAACACAAGTGAACAGCACTTCAAAGCCATCGACTTCTCAATCATCACAAGAGATTGACTCGAATGCAGAGACTAATGAAGACTCGATGGAAATGACATCAAATGAATCGATGTCTCAATTCTTGACTAAAAATCAATCCGAAAGAAAGAAATGCTTTGATTTCAATACAAATGCATTCATTTGTCCAATAAATGAGTGCCGAAACTGTTTCCAAACGGACCACAACTTTAAGAACCATTTGCGGAGAACTTATGCCTCAAGACATCACGTGTGCACTCATGAGGGCTGTGGTCAAGCATTTAAAACAAAGTGTGGTTTAAGTAAACATCAATCGATTCACAAAACTGTTAAATCATTTCAATGTCCACACAATGGCTGTGAATATAAAGCCGTTAACAATAGGTATTTGAAATCACATCTAAAGACACACTCGAGAGATAGAATCTTTAGATGTGATGTCAATGGATGTGATTATCACACCTGTATTGACCGGTCGTTGACAAGACATATGAAAAACATACACAAAATAATTCAATCATTTCAATGCCATTATAATGACTGTCAATATAAATGCGTTAACAAAAAGTTATTGACAGCACATCTGAAGACACACTCAACAGTCAGAATAGTTGGAGTTAACAGATGTGCTGTCAGTGACTGTCAGATGGCATTCTTGACGAAGAATGAGTTGAATGTCCACCGTTTGACACACGGGTCCGGACCGGCCATCAAGTGTGGGATCAAAGGTTGTAATGAAATGTTTTATACGTTTTCCCAACGCCTGAGACATCGGGTGTCGGTTCACAACCGACGGACGTATAGCTATCGCAGAGGAAAACAATGGTTTGAATGGAAGGGGAAAACAGATACACAAGAAGTGAGACANTGAGACATCGGGTGTCGGTTCACAACCGACGGACGTATAGCTATCGCAGAGGAAAACAATGGTTTGAATGGAAGGGGAAAACAGATACACAAGAAGTGAGACAAACAATGGATGACAACAACGAAGCAGTAAATGAAGACATGTTTGACAACTCGTATGACAGCAATGGTCTGGAGTTGAGGATAGATATCAAAGAAGAACCCGAAATATATTTTGTGGAACCGATGAATACAGAAATGCAAACACTATTAAACACCACTTCAAAGCCATCGACTTCTCAATCATCACAACAATCGGTGGTAAACATAGACCTCAATGAAGAGAGTAGTGAAGACTCGATGAATGAGACGTCAAATGATCAACAAATCAAACAAAGTATTGAATCTCAAGAACTGAACCCAAATATTCTTCAATGCAATGAAGACATGGGTGACAGCAATGATCCGGAATTGGAATCAGATATCAAAGAACCCGACGATAATTGTGTGGAACCGATGACAACACAAACAATTGATACGCCAATAGTATTCATGTACTCAAAAATATTGCCAACCAATGAATCCATACCACAAGAAATTGCGGAAAATAATGTAATTATTGGAAACACTAGTGAAGTCTCGATTAATACGCGGTCACTATTGAACACCACTTCAATGTCAGTGACATCTCAATCATCACAACAATTGGTGGTAAACAAAGATATGAGTGGAAAGAGTAGTGAAGAATCTAACGAACAGCCAATTAGAGCAACACTTGAAGTGATGCCAAGAATATATGACAACATTAAAGGCTCGGATGGCGTGTCTGTGTTTAGATGTCGTATCAGTGATTGTCGGATGATATTTGAGTCCAAACACTGTTTGCATAAACACTTGGATTTACATACGACTGATCCGACCATTGAGTGCGGAACCGATGGCTGTATTGATATGTTTCACACGAGAAACCAATTAAACAGACATTGGCTGAAGACTCATAGCTTGAATGCGATTGTCTGTAAGAATCAGAGTCTGGAGTTGGGATCAGTTATTAAAGAAGAACACGAAGATAATTGTGTGGAACCGTTGAAGACAAAGACAACTAATCCACGAAAACTATTTACGTACTCAAAGGTGTCACCAATTGTCGAATCTATACCACAAGAAAGCATCACAAATGAACTCATTATTGGAAACAGTAGTGAAGACTCAATGGAATTGCCATTAATTGAATCCATGTCTCGATTATTGCCACCGAATACGTCATCGATATCTCAATCAGCAGAAGAGACTGTTCTTCCAGTGATGGTAAACGAAGACATGAGTGGAAACAGTAGTGAAGACTCGATGGAAATGACATCAAATGAATCGTTGTCTCAATTCTTGCGACAAAATAAGTCCGAAAGAGTGAAATGCTTTGAATTAAATTTCAATGCATTCATTTGTCCCATAAATAAGTGCCACAAGAATTTCAAAAACGACAATAGCTTTGCGTGTCATTTGCGGACAACTCATACCACAAAACAATACTTCTGTACTCATGAGGGCTGCGGTAAAGCATTTAAAACACCGCGAGATTTAAAAAGACATGAATTGGTTCACAAAAATTTTATAAATTAAATTAATATAACATTTAATGTTTGTGTCGTCCGACCGGTGCTAACACTTCATAACAACTCTCACTTCGCATACCATTTGATGTTTAGATGTTTTTAGTCATAATTATTATAAATATTGTAATAAAGTTTTTTAATAAATAATATTAAACACTATATTAGTGTTAAATTTGTAATTATTAAATACTTTTAGTTATCAATTGAAATTACAATTGGAGTACAATTTGTACGTAATTTTTAGACAATCCCTTCACTTCTCTATTGAATTGAATTTTTGTTTACATTTTTTGATTCAATTGTTGTTTAGTTTTGCACTTAATATGAGTTTCAACTGAAGAGTCCATCAAATGATCAATAATTAGATGAAACACAAGAAGTGATCCAACAATGGATGACAACAACCAACACGTGTTTGAGAGCCCAGTCTTCAGGTGTGGAGTCACTGACTGTCAGATGATATTCACATCAAAACAGCATTTGTTTCAACACTTGGATCAACACATGAATGATCTCCACTTGGGATCAGATGTCAAACAAGAACCCGAAGATAATTGTGTGAAACCGATGAATGCAGAACTGCAAACACAAGTGAACAGCACTTCAAAGCCATCGACATCTCAATCATCACAACAATTGGTGGTAAACAAAGACAAACAAAAACACCAATTAATGAATGAAAAGAGTAGTGAAGACTCGATGGAAATGCTATCAAATGAATCGATGTCTAAATTATTGACTAAAAATTCGTCTGAAAGACAGAAATGCTTTGATTTGAATAGAAATGCATTCATTTGTCCCATAAATGAGTGTCACATGTGTTTCAAAACGGACCGCAACTTTGTTCAGCATTTATATAGAAATCCGAGAAGACATTCAACGGATAGGTTCTTGAGATGTGATGTAAATGGATGTGATTATCAGACCTGTGATAACGATTATTTATTAAAACACATGAAAACAAAACACAATATAAGTAAATCATATAAATGTCATTATAACGACTGTTACTATAAATGCGTTACCAATAAGTTATTGTTAACACATCTGAAGACACACTCAACAGTAGGAATAGTTGAAGTGAACTCATGTCCTGTCAGTTACTGTCAGACGGCATTCTTGTCGAAGAATGAGTTGAATGTCCACCGTTTGACACACCGGTCCGGACCGGCCATCAAGTGTGGGACTAAAGGCTGTAATGATATGTTTTATACGTTTTCCCAAGCGGACTCTGTAGCCCACAGCCAAGTGTTGGCTGCCTGCATATCGATAGCGTCTCCTTTTGTTACCAAACTTACCTTCCCCTTTTGTCTCTCACAAGAATTGATACAAACAATGGATGACAATAAGGAAGGAGTAAATGAAGACATGTTTGACAACAACAGCAAACCCGTGGAAACCAGACTTATTACAGGCAAACCCCAGAGTCTGGCGTTGAAGTGTGGGGTCACTGACTGTCAGATGATATTTGCATCAAAAGAGGATTTGTATAAACATTTAGATCAACACATGAATGATCTCGAGTTGGGATCAGTTGTCTGTGAAGAACCCGAAAATAATTGTGTGGAACCGATGAATACAGAAATGGAAACACAAGTTAACAGGACTTTAAAGTCATCGACATCTCAATCATCACAACAATTGGTGGTAAACAAAGATATGTGTGGAAAGAGTAGTGAAGAATCTAATGAACAGCCAATGAGAGCAACACATGAAGTGATGCCAAGAATATATGACACCATTAAAGGTTTAGATGGCGTGTCTCTGTTTAGATGTCTTGCAAGCGATTGTCTGATGATATTGGGGTCAATTGATGACTTGTCTAAACACTTAGATCTTCATATATTTGATCCGACCATTGAGTGCGGATACGAGGGATGTATTGATATGTTTCACACGAGAAACCAATTAAACAAACATTGGCTGAAGACTCATAGCCTGAATACGATTGTTTGTAAGGATCAAAGTCTGGAGTTGGGATCAGTTATTATAGAAGAACACGAAGATAATTGTGTGGAACCGTTGAAGACAAAGACAACTAATATACGAAACCTATTTACGTACTCAAAGGTGTCGCCAACCGTCGAATCCATACCACAAGAAATTATCACAAATGAACTCATTATTGGAAACAGTAGTGAAGAGTCGATGGAATTGCCATTAATTGAATCCATGTCTGAATTATTGCCACCGAATACGTCATCGATATCTCAATCAGCAGAAGAGACTGTTCTTCCAGTGATGTTAGACGAAGACATGAGTGGAAACAGTAGTGAAGACCCGATGGAAATGATATCATACCCACTGACCTTAACCTACCATATAGTGGTCATCGAAGCGGATCCGCGGCCACAAAACCGCCCTTTTTTGGTGACAGCAATGGTTTGTCGTTGAGATCAATGCAGAGATGGAGAGAGAGAGAGAGAGAGAGAGAGCACTGACCGTTTTTGTAGCAAAAGTATTGTTTCGGTTGTTTGAGAAATTGTGCCCAAAATTTATAACAATTCAAACAACTGTTGGGGAGAATAACCATATTATCACTAAATCACGTGACAATAACCAATTAATCATATGATAAATACCTAAACACCCCGTAATGTCTCGCAACAATTGAAAAAAACTTTGTCTCCGAGCAAACGACACACGTAATTGTCCCTGGTTGTCCTAACCTACAGTATAGTATAGTGTCGTTATTATATCACAAAATAATTGTATACTGACTTTGGCTGTTCTTGAATGACATTCTTCGGCTTATCCTCGGATTGCGAACCAATCATTTCGTTTGTCTCCTCCACACAGTTGTGGCCATTCATGTGTTGTGCGAGCATTTCATTAGTGGTAAACACTTGGCCACAGTGTGTCCGTTGGCACCGGAATTGGTATTTGTCTTCTGCGCCATAAAGCAATCGCCGGCTGTGAGCCTCCCATAGATGTCTGTTTCGTTGGTCTTCATTGCAAAACATATCAATACAGCCATCGATTCCGCACTCAATGGTCCGTACATTATAGACCTCATGTCGAGCGCAATGTTTTTTGAAAATGCCTTTATGAAGGGTCTGATAAACACATCCATTCACATCGCATTTGTACACTGAGTGTGACTTCAGATGTATTTTCAAACACTGATTACTAATGGCTTTGTATTGACAGCCATTGTGTGGACAATGCAATGATTTGTTATTTTTGTAAACCAATAGATGTTGTCTTAAGTTGTACTTTGTTTTAAATGCTTGACCACAGCCCTCATGAGTGCACACGTGATGTCTTGTGGTATGAATGTTCCACAAGTGGGTCGCAAATTTACTGTCCGTTTCATAACTCTTGTGGCACTTATTTATGGGACAAATGAATGCTTTGAGAGTTCTATCAAAACATTGTTTTCTTTTGGTCTTATTTTGTGCCAATAATTGAGACATCGATTGTTTTGATGGCATTTCCATCGAGTCTTCACTACTCTTCCCATTCATGTCTTTGTTTACCATCTCTTGTGATGATTGAGAAGTCGATGGCTTTGAAATGCTGTTCACTTGTCTTTGCATTCCAACATTCATTGTACTAATGTCTGTATTAATCGGTTCCACATAATAAGCGACGAGTTCTTCTTTGATATCTACCCTCAAATCCAGACCATTGCTGTCATACGAGTTGTCAGACATGTCTTTATTTACTCCTTCAGTGTTCAATAGTGTTTCCATTTCTGTATTCATTGGTCGCAACTCGAGATCATTCATGTGTTGATCCAAGTGTTGATACAAATCCCCTTTTGATGCAAATATCATCTGACAGTCAGTGACCCCACACTTCAACGCCAGGCTCTGGAGTTTGCCGGCAATAAGTTTGGTTTCCACGGGTTTGCTGTTGTTGTCAAACATGTCTTCATTTACTCCATCGTTGTTGTCATCTATTGTTTGTTTCACTTCTTGTGTCTCTGTTTTCCCCTTCCATTCAAACCATTGTTTTCCTCTGCGATAGCTATACGTCCGTCGGTTGTGAACCGACACCCGATGTCTCAGGCGTTGGGAAAACGTATAAAACATATCATTACAGCCTTTGGTCTCACACTTGATGGCCGGTCCGGACCCGTGAGTCAAACGGTGGACATTCAACTCATTCTTCGACTTAAAGGCCATCTGACAGTCACTGACAGGACATCTGTTCACTCTATCTGTTATGACTGTTGAGTGTGTCTTTAGATGAGATTTAAGATAGCGTTTAGAAATGGCTTTGTATTGACAGCCATTGTGTGGACAATGAAATGATTTGTTGTTGTTGTGAATCAATTGATGTCTCTTCAAAGTGCCCGCTGTCTTAAGGCCTTTACCACAGCCCTCATGAGTGCAGATGTATTGTTTTGTGGTATGAATTCTCTGCAAATGCTGCTGAAAGTATTGGTCCTTTTGGAAACTCTTGTGGCACTCATTTATGGGACAAATTAATGCATTGACAGTCCTATCAAAACATTCAGTTCTTTTGGTCTTATTTTGTCGCAAGAATTGAGACATCGATTCATTTGATGGCATTTCCATCGAGTCTTCACTACTTTCTTCATTAATGTCTTCGTTTACCATCTCTTGAAATGATTGAGATGTCGATGGCTTTGATTGTGGTAATAATGGTTCAATCGCTATATTTATTGGTTCCACATAATTATCTTCGGGTTCTATTTTGATAACTGATCCCAACTCCAGACCATTGCTCTCATACAAGTTGTCAAACATGTCTTCATTCACGCCATCGCTGTTATCATCAATACTTTGATTCACTTCTTGTGTTTCATATCTTTGAGCCAATTGTCGATCATTTAATGGACTCTTCATTTGGTCTTCAAATTCAGTCTTCATGTGATGTCCAACCGATCCATACGTTTCATCACTCAATTGATCCAATGATTGACACAATAGCCAAAAGTCTTGATTGTCTTCTCCATCAATGATTGTCTTATATTTTGAGTGAATTTTAATTAAATGTGTTTTCAATTCATTCAAACATTTGTTTCCAAACAATAACTCATTTAAAAGTCGTTTGTTTTCAACCATTAATTCATCCAAAATATCATTAATACTAATCATTAATGACTTTTTACTAATCATTGAATCCATAATTCAATGCAAAACTAATTCACAATTAATTTGAATACAAATTAAGTGCAAAACTAAACAACAATTGAATCAAAAAATGTAAACAAAACTCAAAACATGCGGAAACTGAAGGGAATGTCTGTTACAATAATTACGCAAATATTTTCCATTACTTTCCATTGAAAAGTTATCAATGCATTGAACGTTAAATTTACATCAATTTTAATCATTTAAAATATTTAAAAATATATTTTCAAAATAAAATCAATTCAATACAAGTTTAAAATAAAATATTAATTAATTATAATTTAATTTTATGTATTAAACACTATTATGAATGGTCTGAATGTTAAGAATCTCCATAAGAAGTGGTCCGCAAACTCCGGGCGAAACTTTACGGAAGTTTTGTTTATGCAATTCATTCATCATTAATAATTAATTTAATATTAAACCCAAATGAAAATATACAAGCATAATATAGTTACATTAATTGAATTCAATCATTGTTTTTAAATTTCTATAAACTATTATTAACTAAACATTTTATATAACTTTTAAATGATTTGTTAATTATTAACAGAAAAAATATATTTAAAATATAAACATGATTAAAATTAATTAAATTACAATATTTTATAACATAATTAAATAAATTTAGGCCACATTATTGCAATGCTAATGACTTAAGCATTGAATTTTAGGTCACTTAAAGTTATAAAAGTTACTTAAAAATGACTAAAAAGTTGCTAAAAAAGTAATAAAAAGTTATTTAACTTCAATTCAATGCTTTACTAATGACTACAAGCGTATGATGTGTTGGTAGCCTTGCATCACAGGTGCCGATCGACATTAAATTTGTCCAAACATGCTTTCAACCAACACGACTTGCATCGGGTCGAACCCTTACGCTCGCCTCCCAGTGGACAGTCGCCTGTGGATAGACAGTAGGTGTGAATCATTCGTAGAGAGAGAGAGAGAGAGAGAGAGAGAGAGAGAGAGAGAGAGAGAGAACACTGACCGGTTTGGTAGCAAAAATAANAGAGAGAGAGAGAGAGAGAGAGAGAGAGAGAACACTGACCGGTTTGGTAGCAAAAATAATTTATCGGACGTTTCAGATATTTTCTATAGAATTTTGAACAACTCTCACAACTATTATGAAAATAAAATGCGGTTTAAATACACCATTTGATACCCAATTGTAAGTCACAATACCTGAACACTCCGTGACGTTTTTGAACGTAAGAGTAATGCTTAGTCTGCGAGCAAATCACGCAAGTAATTGATCCAGGTTGGCCTGACCTATAGGTGTAGGGGGCACATCGACATTAAAATATCGCATTATATCCAATATAATCTGACCTAGGTGTGTTGGCCTCCCGGACATCGTTGAGGTGGCCATCAGTCTCATTGTTAATGTCATCACCAATTGATCGGTTTGTCTGATCCGCACAGTTGTGGACATTCATGTGTTGTGCGAGCATTTCATTAGTGGTAAACCGTTGGCCACAGTCTGTCAGTTGGCACTGGAATTGGTGTTTGATTCGGAAATCTCTCAGACTATGATAACTCTTCTGAGCGTTGTTATCATCACTGCTTTGATTCACTTCTTGATTATCATCTCTATTGCTGTGAATCTTAATTTGATGTCTATTTCGTTCACTTTCAGTATAGAAGATATCAATACAGACATCGGTTCCGCACTCAATGGTTGGATTCGTATTATGATTCAATAGACAGTGTTTTCTTAAATTAAGTCTTGTGGTGAATATCATCTGACAGTCAGTGACACCACAACTAAACCGTCCTCTCGAGTGTGTCTTCATATGTTGTCTCAAATTAGATCTCTTATTGGTTTGAAAATGACATGCATTTTGCGGACAATTTAAAAATTTAATGTTATTGTGTATTAATAAGTGATCGTTTAGTGTATTCTTCCGCTTAAATGCTTTATCACAGCCCTCGTAGTCGCATATGAATTGTCTTCCGCTATGACATGACTGCAAATGTTTGGCAAACTGTGCGTCCGTTTCAAAACTCTTGTGGCACTCATTTATGGGACAAATGTATGCATCAGTGGTTAAATCAAGACATTTCTTTCTTTCGGACTTATTTTGTCGCAAGAATTGAGACATCGATTCATTTGATGGCATTTCCATCGAGTCTTCGCTAATGAGATCGATTACATCCACTTGTGATGATTGAGATGTCGATGGCTTTGAAGTGCTGTTCAATAATGTTTGTATCGTTGTATTCATCGGTTCCACAGATTTACTTTCGGGTACTTCACAGATATCTGTTCTCAACTCCAGACTATTGCTATCATACAAGTTGTTAAACATGTCTTCATTCACATCTTGTGTCTCTATTTTTCCGTTCCATTCAAACCATTGTTTTCCTCTGCGATAGCTATACGTCCGTCGGTTGTGAACCGACACCCGATGTCTCAGGCGTTGAGAAAACGTATAAAACATTTGATTACAGCTTTTGGTCCCACACTTGATGGCCGGTCCGGACCCGTGTGTCAAACGGTGGACATTCAACTCATTCTTCGACTTAAATGCCATCTGACAGTCACTGACAGGACATCTGTTCATTCTATCCGTTGAGTGTGATTTCAGATGTTGTTTAAGATTATTGTGTTGACAGCCATTGTGTGGACAATAAAATGGTTTATCGGTTTTGTGGATCAATTGATGTGCCTTTAAGTTGCCCTTTGTTCTAAAGGCTTTACCACAGCCCTCATGAGTGCACACGTGATGTCTTGAGATACCACTTCTGTTTGTTAAGTGTGTCTTCAGATGTGATGTCAATAACCTTTTGTTAACGCATTCATATTGACAGCCGTTATAATGGCATTGAAATGATTTATCAATCCCTTTGTGTTTCTTCCTGTGATCTTTAAAACAACCATAATTACAGCTGTAATAATCACATCCACTGACAGCACATCTCAAGATTTTAATTCCAGTCGAATGTGTCTTCAGATGTATTTTCAAATAGTTATTAGAAATGCCTTTATATTCACAGCCATTGTGTGGACAATGAAATGATTTGATATTTTTGTGAACCAATAGATGTTGTCTTAAGTTGTACTTTGTTTTAAAGCCTTTACCACAGCCCTCATGAGTGCAGATGAATTGTTTTGTGGTATGAGTTCTCCGAAAATGTTGTTGAAATTGGATATCCTTTTGGAAACTTTTGTGGCACTTATTTATGGGACAAATAAATGAATTGAGAGTAAAGTCAAAACATGTCTCTCTTTCGGACTTATTTTGTGCCAACAATTGAGACATCGATTCATTTGATGTCATTTCCATCGAGTCTTCACTACTCTCTTCATTCAAGTCTATGTTTACCACCGATTGTTGTGATGATTGAGAAGTCGATGGCTTTGAAGTGCTGTTCACTTGTGTTTGCATTTCTGTATTCAATAAACTTATTGAGGATTTGTTAATGAGTTGTGTATTAATCGGTTCCATAGAGTAATCTTCGGGTTCGTCTTTGATAACTGTTCCCAACTCAAGACTATTGATGGCAGACATGTCTTCATTCATGTCATTGTTGTTATCATCAATACTTTGATTCACTTCTTGTGTTTCATCCGTTGGTCTCATTTGTTGATCATTTGATTGACTCTTCATTTGGTCTTCAAATTCAGTCTTCATGTGATGTCCAACCGATCCATACGTTTCATCACTCAATTGATCCAATGATTGACACAATAGCCAAAAGTCTTGATTGTCTTCTCCATCAATGATTGTCTTATATTTTGAGTGAATTTTAATTAAATGTGTTTTCAATTCATTTAAACATTTGTTTCCAAACAATAACTCATTTAAAAGTCGTTTGTTTTCAACCATTAATTCATCCAAAATATCATTAATATTAAAATCCAATGACTTTTCGTTAACTAATGAATCCATAATTCAATGCAAAACTAATTCACAATTAATTTAAATCCAAATTCAGTCCAAAAACTAAACAACAATTAAATCACAAAAATGTAAACAAAAACAAAACATATGGGAAGTGAAGGGAATGTCTGTTACAATAATTACGCAAAATATTTTCCGTTACTTATCGTTGAAAAGTTTTCAATGCATTAAAAGTTAAATTTACATAAATTTTAATCATTGAAATTATTTTAAAATATTTATTCAAAATAAAATCAATTCAATACAAGTTTAAAATAAAATATTAATTGATTATAATTTAAATTTATGTATTAAACACTGTTATGAATGGTCTGAATGTCACTGACAGGGCATCTGTACATTGTATCTGTTCTGAGTGTTGAGTGTGTCTTCAGATGTGATGTCAATTCCTTATTGCTTGTGCTCTTGTATTGACAGCAGTTATAATGGCATTGAAATGATTTAATCGATTTGTGTTTCCTTTTCACACAACTCTCATTACAGGTGTTATAATCACATCCTTTATCCGTCGAGTGTGTCTTCAGATGTTGTTTCACATATTCATCACAAATGGCTTTAAATTCGCAGCCATTGTGTGGACAATGAAATGATTTAACATTTTTGTGTATCAATTGATGTCTTCTTAAGTTTGACCTAACTATAAAGCCTTTACCACAGCCCTCATGAGTGCAGATATGTTGTCTTGAGGTATGAGTTCTGCGCAAATGTTGTTTAAATTGCTTATCTAATTGGGAACTCTTGTGGCACTCATTTATGGGACAAATGAATGCATTTTTAACTTTATTAAAGTATTTCTCTCTTTCGGACTTATTTTGTAGCAACAATTGAGACATCGATTCATTTGATGGCATTTCCATCGAGTCTTCACTAATCTCTTCATCCGAGTCTATGTTTACCACCGATTGTTGTGATGATTGAGACGTCGATGGCTTTGAAGTGCTGTTCACTTGTGTTTGCATTTCTGTATTCATTAGACTTATTGAGGATTTATTAATGAGTTGTGTATTCATCGGTTCCATAGAGTAATCTTCGGGTTCTTCTTTGATAACTGTTTCCAACTCAAGACCATTGATGGCAAACATGTCTTCAGTCATGTCATTGTTGTTATCATTAATACTTTGATTCACTTCTTGTGTCTCTGTTTTCCCCTTCCATTCAAACCATTGTTTTCCTCTGCGATAGCTATGCGTCCGTCGGTTGTGAACCGACACCCGATGTCTCAGGCGTTGGGAAAACGTATAAAACATTTCATTACACCCTTTAGTCTCACACTTGATGGCCGGTCCGGACCCGTGTGTCAAACGGTGAACATTCAACTCATTCTTGGACTTAAATGTCATCTGACAGTCACTGACAGGACATCTGTTCACTCTATCTGTTATGACTTTTGAGTGTGTCTTCAGATGTCGTTTAAGATAGCGTTTAGCAACGGCTTTGTATTGACAGCCATTGTGTGGACAACGAAATGGTTTATCGGTTTTGTGGATCAATTGATGTGACTTTAAGTTGCCCTTTGTTTTAAAGGCTTTACCACAGCCC